CAGATCCTAACTCGATTGCTGGCCTAAACTCTAGACCCTAAACCCTAGACCCTGAACCCTAAACCCTAAACCCTAAAACCACAACCCTAAACCCTAAACCCTAAACCCTAAACCCTAAAACCACAACCCTAAACCCAAACCCACAACCCAAAACCCTAAACCCAAAACCCAAAACCCAAAACCCTAAACCCAAAACCCTAAACCCAAAACCCAAAGCCCTCAACCCAAAAGCAACCAAAACGGTCGGAGCAAAGGGCCGAAAGCGACGAAGGCCAGGGCCCAGGAGCTCGAACTCACTGGGGGCCGTGGTGACCCTGGCTCGCACCGCGTTTAGGCGTTTAGGGCTTTAGGGCTTTAGGGCTTTGGGGCTTTAGGGCTTTGGGGCTTTAGGGCTTTAGGGTTCAGGGTTTTGGGCTGGGGCTTAGGGTTTAGGGCTTTAGGGTCTGGGGCTGAGGGTTTAGGGATGATGTCAGTTTAGGGTTTAGGGTTTAGGGGTTTAAGGTTTCAGGATTTAGGGCTTTAGGGTTTAGGGTTTCGGAATGGTGTCGGTTTAGGGTTTAGGGTTTAGGACTTTAGGGCTTTAGGGTTTAGGGTTTAGGGATAATCCCGCTTTAGGGTTTAGGGTTTAGGGCTTTAGGGCTTTATGGCTTTAGGGTTCTGGGTTTGGGGATTATGACGGTTTAGGGTTTAGGGCTATGGGGCTTTAGGGTTTACAGTTTAGGGTTTAGGGTTTAGGGCTGATGTCGGTTTAGGGTTTAGGGTTCAGGGTTTTAGGGTTTTAGGGCTTTAGGGTTTAGGGCTTAGGGACTATGACGGTTTAGGGTTTGGGGCTATCGGGTTCAGGGTTGAGGGTTTAGGGGTTATGATGGTTTAGGGGTTTTATGCTCCAGGGTTTAGGGCTGGGGCTTAGGGTTTAGGGCTTTGGGGTTTAGGACTTTAGGGTTTAGGGATTATGACGGTTTAGGGTGTAGGGTTTGGGGTTTAGCAAGCAAGGAAACCGATACAGCATAACGAAAATACCAACTCGAGAAGAATGCTGATCACAACAGTGCTATAAAAGAAAACAGGTAAAACAGTGTACAGTATATTCATCCCAACAAAACTGTGAACCAACAACAATGAGAAGAAGAAGAACGACAACAATACCAACACGAATACTAGCACTTGTATTATGACTACTCATGATAACAACAAGATTAACAGCGGTCATAAGAGCAACAGTAGGAGTAACGCTAAGACTAACAATAGCAACAATGCCACTAATAGCAGTAAAGATAACGGTAGCAATGCCAACAAAATAAACATAGCAAACGAACATGACAATGATGATAGTCGTAAACTGACTATAACAATATCAAGATAATAGTAATAGTAGAAATGGCAAGAAGAAGCATAATGATAGCTTTATTTATTCCGGTTAATAACAATGCTGATGGTACTGGCAATGGTATCAGCAACAATAGTAACAATGCCAGCAATTATGAGAATACAAAGAGCCGGAACAAGAAACAATAATGATAGCGGCTATATATGTATATATATATATACATATATATGTATAGTTTATGTGTTTATTTACTTATTTAGTTGTTTATACTTATGTTTATATTTATATTTCTCTTCATGTTTGTAGCTATAACTGTAGCAATATCAATACTCGTCATAATACCAAGAACAACAATGCTGATGCGAATAACAACCTCGTTCATAATCATCACCATCCTGCTCACAATCATGATGCGGATATACACGTCTACTGTTAGGGCACATAAGCAAAAGAAAAAGGATAGGGATCTCCCATATAAACCTCCTTATAATGAAGCTCAATAAAGTAGGGATATCCCTACAAAATGCTTATGCTTATGTCATCTTTGGGTTCCTAAACTGTAGGCCCCTGGAGGCCTTCAGCTCTGGTCCCAGCAAGCGGCGGAGCACTTTTTTTTTTTCTAACG